GCTTGTTTGTACAGGCTTCTGAACCGTTAAGGCTTGTTGCTCCCACATGCTAAGACAGCATGGTGGTGCAGCGGTAAACAATGCCAACTCATAGCAAGAAAGGCGTGGGTTGTCTGAGGAATTTGCAGTAGTGCTGAGGACGAAAAGTGTGCTTTCACCTTTCCCCCAAACAAAGTGGGCATGTTTTTCTGTTTTTCCGAGTCTTTTTTCTTTTTCATCGACCTGAAACATTTCATCTTTAATTTTTAACAAAATCTTAACTGCATTTGGCCATTTGGCAAAATTGTCTTTTAAGCAGCTTCTCAAGTTTTGCTGGATGAGTAAAATCTAAGAGAAAATGACCGGTCATCAGCTCACTTGTGTCTTACAAATTCCAAGTTTTTAATAAGTTTCATTTTGGTCTCTATTGGTTGCATTCAGTAGCAACTGCTGCTCTCAGAGTCCTTTAAATTGTTTACATTTTGTTTCACAATCATTTTTGTACTGGAATAAATGTGAATGTGTTGCTTTTGAATATGCTTTAAATCTACAAGTAATGAGTAACAAGCAGTTTCATAGCAAGGTAACTTTATTCCCTGATTATTCCATAACAAACTTTGCAGTCAGTGATTCCCAGTGAGTGTTGAACTTGCATTTGGGAGCAAGTTCAATTCTTGGAATGCTCATATGAGGCTCAAAGAGATGTTGACGCAAATGATGGAATCTGTATTTAGACTGAGTAATCCAAACGAATATACAGCAAAATTTTAGGACACAAGTAAGATCAGTTAGACCAAAAGTCCTGGAAGAAAAAGGAAGACAACTAAAGTGAATGATTGCCAAATTCGTTCTTTAAGAAAACCACTTTACAATATCCAACAAGTTGAGGACAGTCTCATTGAACTATTATTGTCAAAGTCTACAATGAAGAGAGACCTTCATTAATTGAAATACAAGTTTATAGAATATTTGGTTTACAACAAGGTCCAAACCAATGGTTGAATCCAAGTACAGAAAGACCAGATTAGACTTTGCCAGAACAAATCTAAACGAAGCTGCACTGGTTCTTCTTTGGACAGAAGAAAGATTAACCACATTATCAAACATGTTTTAGGAAGCGTTACAGCATTGGTATGTGCGGCTGCCAGTAGAACAGGATCTCAGGTATTTACTATTTTTATGTGACTGCTAATAGAAATAGAAAGATACAATTCTGAAGTGTACAGGGTTATACTCTCTGCTCAGATTTAGCTAAATGCTCCAAAAACTGATTAGCTAACACTTCACTGGGCAAATCAATAATGAGCCAAAGCAAACTCCAAAAGCAACCGATGAGTTTCTCAAGGTAAAGAAATTGGATATTATTCAATGGTCAACACAGTCACCTGACTGCAACCCAACAGAGCATGCTTTGCAATTACTGAAGACAAAAATTAAAGGTGGGCGGCAGAGACCCACAAGCAAGCAGCAACTGATGGTTGCTGTAGTAAAGACCTAGCAGAACATATTTGGTGAAGTGCACAGATTCTAGACTTCAGGCAGTCATTGACCGAGCATTAAAAGCAATCCTCATATCTGAAAATTGAATCCACTGTGGTTACAAAATTGCAAAAATTGTGCCATTCTCCAAGTACTTACAACCTAATATGTATACCTGTATGTTGGCTGTGAGGTTCAGGCAGGGAAGTATCTCTAGAACAGCTTTTGTATCTGTCAGACAGGACTTTCTTGCTTACCATATCACACCTTCGTAACTGAATCTCTGTCTTGTGATCTGTCATGTGCCTCTGGCTGTATGCATTGTGCTTCCTTTTGTGCAAAAAATAGATATTCTTAACAGGTATCTCCTACCTTTGTTATGCGGAAAATATTTAATTGCACACCTCAGACACGCCTCTGATGATCTGTATTAACTCTATATAAGATGATAAATACTTTTCTTACACCTAAAAATTTTCAAGACATTGTTTTAAACGTGATGTAAACTACTATCTCTTTATCTTCTTTCATTAAACTTATCCTGCTTAATGTAGGTATCTCAACACACCAGGCTTTGAAGTTCAACAATCTTGTGAATTGCTTATTCCCTTATGTTTCTGCCAGGAAAGGGATATTGCTATATTCACACTCAGGTGAGATAACTTTGTTTTTATTGTATTGTTTAACCTATTCTTAGACAGGCAATTCCATTGCGACTCAATGTCTCATTTACAATAGAGGCCTGTTTTAGACAAGTTTTACTCCAAATTTGCAATACCCTGTCCTCTGCCTTGGCAATGCTTTGTCCAAATTCTGCTGCCAAGCTTTTGGCCACATCATCCAAGAGGTCTCATGTAACACAGGTTCAGACTGTCGGTTCATTTGTTTGGAGCCTTGTGTGGCAAAAACCTCTGGCTACAAAGCAGCAGAATACAAATTTTGCTTCTTTTTTTTTTTTTTAAAACGTCACTCTCTGCTCTAGTAGCCTTGTCAACCTTCCTCACCTTGCCACTTCACTGACACTCTCATAGCTGCATCTCACTTTAGCTTTAGAAAGCCGATACCCTTCCCATTTTTTTCTTGTACACATGCACACAAACATGGTGTCATGTCTCTGAAACTCTGGGCTTTCCTGCACAAGGTTACAGACAGTCATGCAGAAAACAAGTCACGTGACTATAAAACATAACTTTAAGAAGGTTGATGTGTCATCCTGTCTCTTCCTGTTGTTTGGAATCCACTTTGGACTCAGTGTAGAGCAACACCACCCTCTACAGGTTCTTTAACCTTGATTTCATCTCTCCGTATCTAAGAGTTACATTTTTATGAGCTATAAGTTCATCCAATTCTTTTAATCATCTGAGTCTAATATCCATCATTTATTCTGTTGTTATTATATATTAATGTGATTTCTTTAACTGAAAAAAAATCTTTCTACATCTGATTTAATGATCACATGGTTTGTTGTGTATGAGCCACTTTCTAAAATGTAAATATTTTTACCTTCTCTCTAAATCCAAAGAAGAAACTAAGGTCTAACTAACCAACCAACAAAAAAAAGGATATTTAAGCTCAAATGTAAGTTTTAAAAACATTCATACTTTTGTGTAGTCACAGAGCAGACTCAAAACAGACTTAATGGCTCTGAATTAGGCTCAAAACCAGACATACTGGAGTCAGACAAGACCACTTTTACAGTATGTTCTTCAACAGTTTGCATCAAAACACAATTAAATCCAAATTTATTTATTTCAAACACATACTACGTGGCACATATTACTATTTATTCAGAAATGACGGGGATATATGTTGAAGAAAGTGTGTGGGAAAACAGTTTCATTGAACTGCTGGGTATGTAAATAAAGAAAATCGGAACCCTTTACCCTCCTTGAATCAAGGGTCCAGTTTACTTCTCGGGTGGGCAAGGATCCGGAGCTGGTGCATGAGGTTGAGAAATAGTGGCTAAATATAACTGTCCTCACCTCAGTGCAAAGCTTGGGCTCTGGAACCAGTTTCCTGTAGAGGGGCTGAATTCTGTTCCACTCTGGAGTTGGTTTAGGTAGTGGCGGTAATCCCACAACCAGACTGCGGACATCGGAGGTGAAGGGAGCTGTCAGGCTTATTGGGCTTATTGAACCCCAGGGGCAGCTGACAGGTACTGGCACCACCAGTGGAGTGCACCTTTAGTCGTAGCTGGGGTGAAAATTCAGGTGCATGAGGAATTCAGTAAGACAAAGGAACAAGACTTGCAAGACAAGACTCACGTCTCTGCAACATTGCCTGATGAACTGAGGTGGTGATTCTGGATTGGGAGAATGGGGTGATTGTTGCCCTGGGGGACCAGAGTGGGACCCCCAAATATAGGGGGCTCACACTCATCATTTTTTCCAAGGAAGTCGATACCAAGGTACCCAAGGTACTGCAGGGGAGACTCAGGAGGAGCAATTCGGTTTGCGCCCTGGATGAGGAACACTGGACCAGGTCTTTATCGTCTTGAGGATATTTAAAGGTGCTTTGAAGTTTGCCCATCCAGTCTACAGTGACAGAAATTGAAATCACCAATTGAGTATGTCTGGGTATTGTCCATGAGTGAGGGGAGAGTGGAGCGTGAAAAGAGAGACATGCACTTCAAAGTGCTGCTAAAAGTGGTTGAAATTAGTTTCCTTCAATAGGTGGCTTGGTTCTTCTTTAGAGATAGAATTAGGAGCTCAGTTATCTGACAGGGACTTGGAGTAGAGAGTAGGTGGTTCAGGCATCTGGCTAGGATACCTCCTGGGCAAGGTTTTTTGTCGTACTGGGAAGATGTCCTGGGGCAGCCCTCGGACTCACTTGAGAAATTTTATCTCTCAGCTGGCTTGAGAATGACTCATCGTCCTCCCAGATGAGGTGAAAAAGGTGGCTGGGGTGAGGCAAGTCTGGGCTTCTCTGCTGAAGCTGCCTCCACGACACAAACGCAGGTAAGTGGTAGAAAATGGATGGATGGATTGAATGCTTTCAGGACACTGATAGATATTGGTAGTATTTTTAGGTATTTCAGGTATTGTAAGGTGAATGCAACTTTTTAAACGTCACTTTTCCACTTCTCACTGAACCCCAGCAACTCAATCACAATGAAATTACACAAAGCCATATGTCAAACAGTACTGACCTTCACTTTGGCTGGCTGCTCAATTAACCCCCTCTGCTTTGGTCTTTCCACCTGCATAGTTACAAGTACACACTCGCTCATAAACATTCACACACAGCCACATAAAGAAAGTCATAACTGTTTTGAATAATTGATTGCTAGTGAAATTGTGTGGCTCTAGGGTTTCCAGGCTATCAATGTCCCCGTTTCGGGTCAGTGGGTGGCGAGGAAAAAGTAAACTTCTCATGCGAATTACTCATCATGTACCAGCCCTAAACACTCACCCCCACCCCCACACACATTTGGATAAGTTGCATCCTCACCTGAGATGCAGAAGATGTAAAAGGAGGGAGACCAGCGTAAGACCACTGAAACACTGTAGCTTTACTCTTTTTCTAGCTTACATGACCTCTGGATGGTGGAGAAATTCTTCCAGGACCATGAGAGGAAGATGCCTCGGGACAGTCTGATCACCTCTGAGAATGACAGTAAGCCCATTAGCATGCTTTTACATATTCTTCAGAGTTTTTATGACGGCAGCACATTAATTCTTTGTGGCTGGGATGATACAAGTCGATTAGATTTACAGGCCTTTACTGGAAAAAAAATCACATTTCTACACAAATATCAACATGTTTATTAGGGAAAATGTTGATATTGGTAAATACTCATTAGTTAAATAGAGGAAGAGCTTTTGGTCTTTGTGGTAGTTGTAGCTGTGATAACTGATTTGAGTGTATTTTTCTGACAAAACATCCTAATTTATTGAGGTTAATGTTCAGTAAGATGAAGTGCAGTTACTTGATGTCTGCCTCTAATTAATAAAATCATTAAAACGCCAGCTATTGCCCAGCACAAAGATGTTTAATCACCCAGTTCTTGCCTCCTGTTCACTTTGCTGCATATTTGGGAGCTGGCCTCTTGCCCTTGGCTGTCTCCCCCATCCTTGTGGGCTTAGTCATCCCGTCTCCCTTCATTAAGCCATTGTTTGCCTCTTTTGTGCCCTTCTGCTGCACCCAGCCATAATGACCCATGTGATGGCCACTCCGGTTACACTAAGGACACACATCAAAAGGCTGACTACATAAATATCTGTTCAGTCTGTCAGTGGTCCTCTTTGTTTTCCTCTTCATCCCCCTTTAGTGCACAATAGTTCGAGGTGCATAATGAGGTAGGTTAAGCTCCACCAGTGAAAGGGTTCACTGTGGTATTGGAGATGTGAAAAAAAACCAAAAAAACAAACAGAAGGGCTGGATTTATAAAGAGGTTATCTAAAAGGTTTAGTTATGTTGTAGAGAAGTCAGATGTATTTATCTTAAAAATAACAAATGTAAAGTTGCAGGAAAAACACAGCACGATAATGTTAAAAATGTTTTATATCATGGAATACAATATTCAGAAAGAGAAAGAATTAATACTACTCATCTCGCTGCAAACCTAAAAAAGCTCTTAAAACAACATCTGGTCTGTGAAATAGCAGGAAGCCTACATGTCTTGCTTTCAGCAAATCTTTCATTTCTTATTATTTTTGTAGTTTCTGTGTTTGCAATATGTACTTTATACTAAATCTGCACTTTGAAACATCATTATACTGTATCAATTATGACTTAACATGATCAATAATGACACACATTTGTCAGTTTTTAACCAGGAGATCTTAAACTTTCCAGTAATCTAATTATGATCATCACTCATGCTGAGTAACTTAAAAAAGTTGTCTAAGACCTAAGTTTGTCTTTTCTGTGGACCCTTAAATTAAAGGCATCACTTTAAAAGGCACATTCTTTGCTACAAATATGCTCTCATACAACTAAACTACAGTCTTAATTTTTAAATTCATATACAGTATACTCAATGGACATTTTATGGAAACTTATCCTACTGGAATCAGAAATTTTGACTCTACAATCCAAACATCACAGCAGAAATCACCCAGAGAAAAAGCCTCGAGAACTGCTGCTCACTGGACAAACCATTCTCTGTAAACACTAAAGCATCTCTGAAACACTCAGACCATCTGGCACCAATGACGATGACACATTCAAAGTCACTTAGAGCAGCTTTCTTCCCCATTCTGATGCTCAGTTTAAGCTTCAGCATAGACGAGGTCATCTTGACCTCGTCTATGCGTCTAAATGCATTGAGTTGGTGCCATATGATTTGCTGATTAAATATTGATTTTAAAAGACAGCTGAACAAGTGTAACTAATGAAGTAGCCACTGACTGTATTACAGTAAGCTGGGACTCTGGTAACAGAAAATAGAGGGGAGCCTCAAGGTCATGAAGATTGCAAAGACTTAATGGGTTCCAATGTGATGAACACTCATCTATTTGTAGTGTGCTCATATCAAACTTGCCCTGATGATTAAAACAAAGTTTAGTTTGTGTGAGAACATCATTTTTAAAAGACATGATACCACAGATTATCGAATTTAAAAATGAAGCATAAGATAAAACGATTATGAGGCAAATGCAGTTATTATGGCTAAGATGAAAAAAACAAGGTATACTCAATTCTGTAATTAATTTTCATTGATAAAATATCTGTCTCCCATTGTTCACACTGGACTGGATTTTGCAGGTGCTTATGCAGATGAAGGTTAGTCTTCAGCTTGTTTATTAAAAATACTTTAAATAAGCAAAATTACTAGAAAAAACAAAACAAAACAAAAAAACTTTATTAGACTTTATTTATGTTTGACTTTTGGCAGAAAAATAATTCCATGCTCGTGTTTCGTTTCTTCACACAGATGCTCCACTACTGTTGCCACCAACACACTTTGAAAATCATTTGAAGTTCTTTTGATTTTCCTCAGTCATCAGAGTACTATCATGCCTTAAAACATGTGATAGCATGAGAGAGGAAAGGAAACTATTTAATTTAGCACGAGCGAACTTCACAGTATCAAAAGATAACTTTCTGTGAGCATCGCAGTGAAAAGAAAGCAACAGTACTGACAGATTGACAGTGTTATGTGAGTATAAATAGTAAGAAGTTAACAAAAGTAATGTTTAAATGTCAACTGCAGGTGAACAAGATGCAGATTTGTCCTTGCAAGAGGAACATGAGAGTAAAACACACAGAACAAAAAGAAGAGATGGTGACAGGCAGAAAAAGAAGAGGAGAAATGAGAGAAGAAAAGGAGGAACAAGGGCGGGAGAAGGGGAAGAGAATTTACAGGCCGTATCTGAGAAAAGAGAAAGAAGCAAGCGGAAAAGAGCTAAGAGTAAACAAGAAACAAGCAGAAGAGAGAACAACGAAGAGGAAGAAGCTCAACTGACAGGTGGCAAGGGAACAAAAGCAAGAAAGGATATCAGAAATGAAAAAACACGCAGAATGGAGAAGGAGGAAGTGCGAGAAGTTGATGAAAATATTGATGAGGGAAAAAAGAAACAGGGAAGTACCAAAAAGGGAGAGAAGAAAGAAGATGGAGGTAAACAGCTGGTAAAGGAAAAAGCCCGGGACATAAAAAAGAAAAAGCACAAGAAGGCTGAAACAAGGTAGTGTATCATCTTATAATTTCACCTTATCTATGGAAAACTCTGTCAGTTAGACAAAAAAAGGGCCCTAAAAGACATTAATGCTTCAGTTCAGAGCCAGAGACAAGCGAAGAGGACGATGATGAAGAAGAGGACAATGACAAGGATGTGGTGAGGCCGGAGTGTCTCTCTCCAGAGGAGCTGGAGAAGCTGAAGGAGGCAGTGGATGAGAGGAAGAAACTGATCCAAAGTCTAAGGGGAAAACCCTGGCCAATGAAAAAGAAACTTGTCACTTTAAGGTACTTCATATGGATAAATCATTCTGATTTCTTCTACTGTAATTCAAAATACCAGAAGTATTTTGAACTCTAATATTTGCTTTTTTATTTCAGGGAGTCTCAGGAGTTTGTGGAAAAATATGAAGGTGCCTTGGGAAAGGGAAAAGGCAGGAAGCTCTATGCATACAAAGTCCTGATGACCAAGGTGAGGACTTACTTTTACTTCTTTATGTAATCATTAAATAACATAAACAAATACACGATTCATTAAAAAAATTATTCATATCATTAGAAATGGATGAAATTCCAACGGGACTTTGAAAACTTCAAAACTGCATGCATCCCATGGGAGATGAAAATAAAGGAGATTGAAAGTAGGTGTGCTTTTATTTTTTAAATACAAAGGGCTGCTCAATAGTCGCATATATCATTTCTAATTTCCAAGGCCTTATCTTTTCTGTGAGAAGCAGGATAGCTTACATTGTGGTTTTATAGCAGATGCACATATTCATTTGTTCATATGTTATTTTGTACTCTGCTCTGCAGGTCATTTTGGCTCCTCAGTTGCCTCATACTTTATCTTTCTGAGGTGGATGTATGGCATCAATATGATCTTGTTTGGTCTGACCTTTGGCCTGGTTATGGTACCGGAGGTATGCTGTCTTTTTTTTCATGCACCGCACCTGAATTATGTCTTTTGCATTTCCCCCCAAAAACAATGTAATCCTTCTCTGTGCATTTTGCTTACAGGCATTAATGGGGCGACCTTATGGGAGCATGCCAAGAAAGACTGTCCCCAGAGCTGAGGAGGCCAGTGCGATGGACTTTGCTGTTCTTTGGGACTTTGGGGTCAGTGGGTATTATTTTATTTGTCTTTGTTGGCAATTTCTCCTCTGATGTAGTAATAAATAGTCACCCCCAATTAAAGTATTGTATCCACAGGGTTACGCACAGTACTCAGTCCTCTTCTATGGCTACTACAACAATCAGCGTACGGTGGGCTGGCTCAAGTTTCGTATGCCTCTGTCTTACTTCCTGGTTGGTGTCGGTACAGTGGCCTATAGCTACATGGTGGTCATCAGAACGTATGTTTGCTATGTCTAAATACAAAAGACAAATCTATTCTATCCACAGTGTTTTAGTGAATCATGTACTTACTTTTAAATTAAAGGATGGCACGTAATGCAAATGAATCAGGGGTCGGCGATGATAACAGCTTCAATTTCAGCTGGAAAATGTTCACCAGCTGGGACTACCTGATAGGAAATGCTGAAACAGCAGACAATAAGTTTGCTTCCATCACCACCAGCTTCAAGGTTAGTGCAGCTCACTGTCTGCTTTCCAGTATGCTGATTAATGCAAGCCAAGTATCATACAGTACATTACACTCTACCACTTCTTCTACCACTATAGGAGGCAATCTTAGAGGAGCAAGAGAACCACAAGGATGACAACATCCATCTGACTCGATTCTTGCGTGTGCTGGCCAACTTCCTGGTCTTGTGCTGCTTAGCAGGAAGTGGATACCTCATCTACTTTGTAGTGCGGCGTTCTCAGAAATTTGCCTTAGATGGACTGGAGAATCACACGTGGTGGGAAAGGAATGAGGTAGACATGAGAGAAAGAGAGAGGGGGAATTAATGAGAAATAACATTTACAAAAGGAAGTTTATGAATAATTTTGGCTGCAAGCAAAACTTGCTGAGGTTTAATTAAATAATATTTAGAATTTGTCCTGCAGTTCTTGTCCAAGGCCAAAATAGTGACAATAAAAAGTGCAATCCAAACCCAAAGAAAGGAGTTTTATAGTTTAACATAGTCACACAGCATTTTGGGAAAGTGATCAGGTCATTTGGAGAGGGGGTGTGGTGGGTGAGTCCAGATAAGATTCTTTACACAAGGTGAGAGCAGGTGAGAGTGCTGTGAGTATTTCTGGAGGAATGGACCAGTTTGACTGTGACAGGTAAGTAAATCTGAGAAGTGAACTTCTCTATGGGAACTGGGGGACACTGGAAAGCATCAAAATAAAGGCGTTAGACTTTAAAGTTTACAGGAGAGCATAAAGAAGCCTGCTTAGCAGTCAGGAGAAACGCGTAATCTGACTGGATGTTGGAGATGTTTCTTAAATATTGGCTGATGATGAAGCAGATAAGTAACAAGTTCCATACCTGAGCAAACTCACCTAGACCCAGATCTAAATGTTGAAGTTCGTTAGCTGTAGCACATACCACGTGTTCTACATAAAGCTGTTTGAGGTGAGTTGTTAAAATATTCTCAGTTTGCTCTGTGAATTACACTGAGGAAGAAATGTTAAACTGACATTGTGAGTCATGTGAAAAATAAAGTTTTCACAAGACTTTATGTAGACCATGTTGAAGACAGAAACACAGTTTACGTTTGTAAATTTCACCTGAACAAACCACAAGACATCTGGACCAATGTCCTCTGAACTGACAAGACCAAAATGGAGATGTTTCGCCATTAGCACCATGTTTGTGAAAAACACAGTAAAAACCAAACACAGAATATCAGCAAAACCGCCTCATACCAACTATTAAGCATGGTAGTGGAGGGCTGATGATTTAGGGTTATTTCACAGCCACAGGAACTAGGACCTTGCAGATATTGAACTGAATAAATGCATACTAAAGTATTCTAGAGTCAAATGTTCATCAAAGGACATCTGTCTGAAAATCTATCTGAAAGCTAAAGACCTGCCTATGAGCTACAACTCTGCAATCATGGCATGTACTTAGTTTTCACAGGAGTGCACACCGCTCATGTCAATGGTAATATTCTGCCCAGATTTACAGCGATCACAGCCACCAGCTATTCAGTTGCATCAAATGTCATTTTTGTAAGGCGTTATACAAAGTTACACACTAAACAAAAACCCATGCACTCCCAAGTTGTCCTCAGAGTAATTACATTAGTTTTCTGATGTATTTCTCAGGTGAACATGGTCATGTCATTACTGGGGATGTTCTGTCCGATGCTGTTTGATGTAATCAGCACCCTGGAGAACTACCACCCGCGGGTTGCCCTGCAGTGGCAGCTTGGTCGCATCTTTGCCCTCTTCTTGGGAAATCTCTACACCTTCATTATTGCACTCATGGATGAGATCAACCTTAAAGTGAGAAGTCATTGTGTATCGATTTATGAGATTGTAATTTTATAGGATGATTAATCCAAAGTGTTTGTCTCAGAGGAAAGAGGAAAAGGTAGTGAAGTTTAATATAACCATGTGGGAGGCCAGTCTTTACAATGGCACCGTTTTAGAAAACAGTACTGCTCCACCCGTCACAATCCACCCTGCTGATGTGCCCAGAGGGCCTTGCTGGGAGACAATGGTAGGCCAGGTCAGTGTGCATGTGTGCGTCTGTACTATTATGTAACTAAGTAATGTAATTGTTGTTATGGCATTAGGCTGTGGATACCAATAAATAAGGAAATGATAAAATTAATGACAATATGAAACAATCACATGAATATAGTGGGTAAAATAATTTAACTGCAATGAGGGGCCACTGGACGAGGCCATGAAGTATTTAGCCATGTTTTGTTTGGAGATCAAATCATTATTTCACTCAGTGACATGCAAATAAATGAATACTTCTGAGCTGAAATGAACTAACTTACAAATTCAAATAATTATTTCCCCCATTATTATAATGCTTTAGTTGAAAATCTAAGTAAACATTGTAGTTGCAGTTTGTACTTTAGTTAACTTTGTATTAATGGATTTCTGTTGCATTAACTAAGGAAACATACTCTGATCTTATTGTTAAAAGCGATAAACATTACAAATGTTCAGGGGCTTTTATGTTGAAATAAAACTGTTGTTTTCAGAGTGGGTGATGATGTTAATTTTGATGTTGACAAGAAATTAATGCTAAATGATTTCTTAATTTGTAGGAGTTTGTTCGCTTGATCATATCTGACACAATGACAACTTACATCACACTGCTGATTGGTGATTTCCTGAGAGCAGTTCTTGTTCGTTTTCTCAACTACTGCTGGTGTTGGGACCTAGAGGCTGGCTTTGTGAGTCATCTTTTCTATCACTTATCTGTTACTCGAATTTAAAAATGTCACTCTTTGGAGAAAAAAAAAGTGTGGCAAAAGTAATAGTTGCCTTTAATTTCTCATTTGTAAAAGCCATCCTACTCTGAGTTTGACGTCAGTGGGAACGTTTTGGGCCTGATCTTCAATCAAGGAATGATATGGTAGGAAAGCAGCAATTGTTTCACTCAGAAGATTCTTATTTCAGGATGGTGTTTTACTTTCAGCTAGGTTCATCATGGTTTTCATATTGATAAAAGCCTCTTACTAGCTCAGCATCTGTCCTGCTTTTTCTAATCTTTGCTTTCAGGATGGGTTCCTTCTATGCGCCCTGTCTGCCTGCCTTAAACGTCATCCGGCTCCATGTCTCCATGTACCTGCAGTGCTGGGCTGTTATGTGCTGTAATGTGCCACAAGAAAGGGTCTTCAAAGCCTCTGGTTCCAACAACTTCTACATGGCCATGTTGCTGGTCATCCTCTTTCTGTCCACACTGCCTGCCATCTACACCATTGTCTCCATTCCCCCTTCATTTGACTGTGGACCTTTCAGGTAATGACACTAGTTCAGGGTATCTAGCTTTAAAATAAAAATGACTTGGGTTTTTATAACCACTACCATCTTTTTGACAGTGGTAAGAACCGCATGTTTGATGTGATCCACGAGACTCTGGAGTCTGACTTTCCTCCATGGTTTAGCAAAGTTTTCAGCTACGCCTCTAACCCTGGATTGGTGCTACCCTTCATACTTCTTATGGTGTGAGTTAACAGCAGACTATGTAAATCCATAAATAAGTATATTTCACAATGCCGTCATCATTTTCTTTCAGTGTTAAAGTGGTAAGAACTTTGGTGGTAATCATGTGTTATTTTATCTTTCAGACTGGCCATTTATTACTTGCAATCTACATCCAAAAGCTACAGAGAAGCAAATGTGGAGCTGAAGAAAAAGCTACAAATGGTAATTTCAGTTTTGCTTTTCCTCTAATGTAGCACGTACTGCTGTAGCTGTTTTGTGGTTTCTCTGACCAGAAATTGCACCTGAATAGCATTCAGAATCAAGTGACGAGTTTTGAGAGTAAAAAATATCGCAAGAAATTTCCTGTATGTAAGTTGGATGTTCTCTAGGTTTGTTTTCATAGTTCATTTTAGCAGTTGGTATGCTTTCAAACAGCACTGAAGTTCACAAAGAGACCGCCCGAGGCCACTGTGATGCATGACTGCTGTCACGCAATTGTATTAGTGTTATCTCTCCAGCAGAGAGCAGCAAAGGCTGACAGTTCAGATCTATCCAAAAACCCACTACAGGTTCCACCAATAACAAATCTGCAGAAGAGATGCTGGGTAAATGTACGTGCTTGCTCTGAGTGATCTGAAAAATAACACGTGTGGGTATCTTTTGTTTTTGTTTTTGTCTCTTGGTGATTTTTTTTAAGCAAAATGAGGAGAACAAGAGGAAGAACAAACGAGCAGCACTGAAAGCTCAAATGGATTTGGAGGAGGCCAGAAAGACTGCACAAGAGCAACAAAGGAACAACAATGCTTCAGTACAGGATCAAGAAGGTGAGTCTTTTGATTTCAAATATTAATAAAGAAGGTAAACCTGAAGATTTAAGATGATTTAAGATAATTCACAACTTCAAGATTCATCTTATTGTTTTAGGAAATTTGACTTTGTTGTGAAATTAACAAACATAAAAGTAAAAGTTGGGATGCTGTAAAATGAAAGAGAAATATTAACAGCACCATCAGTGTTATATTAATATCAAATACTGGATTTTAAAAAAAATGTATTTATTTACTTTTTACCATTTGAGAAAAATATCAGCTTATTTTGAATTTGATGACAGCAACACATCTCAAAAACCTTGGGGCAGGGGCACGTCCCCTCTTCTTTTAATGTAATATGCTGTTTACAACCCTTTTCACCTTTTCAACCCCAAGTTACCCAATTAGTTGGATGATCTATTATAGTGTTTCAGAATAATTCAGAGTGAATAATCAGAGATTTCAGTCTAATCCACCCATTTTAAAATGGAGCCTTAAAGTGATCAAACCTGCGGCAAAGGCTCAGTTATTAAAGGAGTTTAAGAAGTAAGATGAAAAACATGCACAACATTATGTCAGTCTCTAATTACATAGAGGCAGTCCACCAAATCATCAAGCACTTAAAGTAGCATTATTCAGTATAGACACTGGAAAATCACCCTGCCACTCCATAGACTTGTACATGAAGCAAACTGTAATAGTTGTTTTATATTAAAGTTTTTGAATTCATATAAATACTCCCTTTGTTATGCAACCTCAGCACAGAGCAACATGTACCCCAATTTCACGAGTGGATAACATATTTGTATTCCATCACATCAATGTAGTGGGAGTCATCCTGCCATGTTTAGAGTGGAGTTAATCCTGTAAAATGCTGCCATTCATACCAATATACTCTTTTTAGAATCTCTGTCTTGTCTCTCGCTCTTTCCACCCTCTACACTTAACTAGAAAATACCAAAAATATAATCTCATAATAATTATTATAAGAGCAAGTAAGGGATCCACAATGGACAACAGTACAACACACAGCTGTGAAATTATCATTATTGACTATGGGTAAAACAGAAGTTGCGCCTTTATCATTTTTGATAAATTTGACCACATGTTCTCTTTGACCTGCCTCTTTTTGCTCTCTCTCTCTCTCTTTGCTGTCATCAGCCCTCTCTATCCTCTTTTTTTGAGTTTGAAATTTCAATTCATCTAAGCATAATGCTGTTGTCCACTTTGGCTCAGTTGGTTTTGAATGAGTGTTGACCCAGAGAAGACAGCATGTCTTCTTTGCATGTGCTTTAATGTCCATTTGTAGGTGCTCAGGAGTGTTGGCAAAAGTACAGACATTCTGTGCTTAAGTAGAAGTACAAATACTACTGTTAAAAATACTCCAGAAAAACTGAAGTACTAATTCAACTAATTTATTCAAGTAAAAGTAAAAAAGTACTGGCTCTGAAATATAGTCAAACCAAGAAAGTGAAAAGCAGCTCTTTGGAGGAGGTTTCTATTTTTTTGTGCAAAGCTAACTGAACCTTGTGTTATATTAAAATAATGATAAAATAATGTCAGTAGATGTGAATACAAACTATAACTCTATTTATAGTATATATAACACATAGATATATCTACATTTATCCTATTTTCTGTTGTTCTGTACATAATAGAGGTTGACGTTGCTTCTAAACAGTAAAATATAAACATGAAAAGTGCTTGCAGTTTCATGCGACAAATTTGGAAACACAAGTTTTTTGCAGATGGATGAGCCTCTGCTTATCTTTGCTTCTGAGAAACTCTACCTCTCCAAGACACTCTTAGAAAGAACCCAATCAATGTTACTGACCTTCTGAGATATTTTCCTATCATAAATTCAAAATAAGTCAGTATTTTTCTTAAAATTGTACATCTTCTCAGTTTAAACATATGATATATTTTCTTTCTTCTATTGTGAATAAAATATGATTTGTAAAGTTGAGTGAGCTTGCAAATCATTGCAT